AGGCGCCCCCCCCCCCCCCCGGGGGCGGGGGGGGGGGGAGACGCCAATTTAACCAGTGCTTCCTGAAGGATACCTGTGAGGTAACTCCCGCCCGTCAATCCAGCTGTGCTCCACCGAAGTCACTCCTTCGGCGAAACAGTCCAGGTCATTCTCTGATCGATCATTTCGCGTCAAAGGAACGGGAGGGTACTGCGAGCCAAAACGGGACGGAACGCCCAGGGTGCGCGGCGACAGCGGCTCTTCAACGGCGAACCGCAGCATCCTGGGGCGGCCTACAGTCCTACGTCCCTTCTTCTTGTCCGAGTCAGTGGCACCCAACTCCGGCATCACGTGCTGTCACTCTGCTGATGCACGAACAACTAAGGTTCCTGATAACAGCGAAGTGTTCGTGACGCCACGACTCAGTTTTATCACAGGCTTCACGGGTCATCACGTCATGTCAACAAACATCACGCGCGAGAGACACTTGGGTCCAAAGAGCAACACAGATGCGCTGTTCTTCGTTCATTCGTCGCTTCGATCGGCCTAAGATTTTACGTATCAATCGCACAAAGTAGTGTCCGTCCATCCACGTTTCATCTCCAAAATTACTGGACGAATTTCGGTGTTGATGTCTATAGTCAAAGTCTTCCTGCAATTTTAATTTTGGTTCATATCAGTAAAACGCAAACCCGATCTTCATATGAAGCTCGAATCGAATTGTATGTTTCATCATGCAAAGGAGACGTGAACAGGATAAATACAGAACTCATTACGATGTGCTTGATCTGTAGACATTCGGTAGGACTCCTTGGACGGGGGATCGGCCCGTCGCAAGGCCTCTACCTGTACACAGGACAGCACAAAACAGAAAAACGCGGACAAACATCCGTGGCTTGAGTGGGATTCGAACCCACGGTCCCAGCGACCAAGCGGCACAAGGCCCACGCCTCAGACTGCGCGGCCACTGCGGACCCCCATTCTGTTGAAGAAGATGCAGTTATGTATTTGAATAGCTATTCAACCTGATAATTTATGCATATTTTATTAGAAAGGCAATAAATAATCACCTGATTCAATACATCGATGTTCATTCAACATTTATATGCCATGTTGCATGAAACACTGGGTAAACAAATAAGAGTATATATAGAAGTGAAGGGCACATATCCTTTTGACCTAAAAGTTTTAAAAGCCCGATTATAAGTTAATGATATGAAAACAGAAATATTTAACTAATCTGCTGCAGTACTGAATGAAAAACAACAAGGAAGAGTCTGCAAAACGTCTTGTAGTCCAGTTTGGTATAAACAGCGAGATTGTTTTTGAACATCCCGGTAATTGCTGGACCTGTCACGCTCGCATCACGTCATGTTGGTCTGTGGGGATATGGAATGTCAAGTTGAACCAGTCACACCCCAATTACAGCAGATGCTGAAAATGCTCACACTCGCTCTAATCACATTCCCGCCACCTCCGTAAAAAGTTTAAATTCACACGCAGAAGTTTCTCTTGGCAAACAGAACTTCCCTTCAGACATTTTCATTCGGTTCTTGTACTGTGTGAGCATTTGATCTGTAAACACTTTGCTTTATGGTTCCCTGTAAACAACAGCTACAGAGGCTGAGGTCACGGGAGCACGTTGGCCACAAACCACTACTAATAATAGTTCTGTCCCCGACCACTTTCCTCAGTGTCCATGAATGTGCTTGCTGAGTGAACAGCGGCAGAGTATTTCTCAAAGAACGTGTGCTAGCATTCTTCGATTGTTAGCCGCTTGAAAATTGGTCAAAGTACGCGTTCCACATAACACTCAGAATGTGTACGACTTAAAACACCGGCGGTGCCATGACGATGACCAGCATTCAAATGGCTCTTCAGAGTGCAGGTATCAGAAGATACAATGCGATTATAATAAAATAAATCTACGACAAACACAGAATACCCTAGAAACATTTTAGGCAGACACAGTACAGAAATTTCTTGAAAATATAACATATTTTTAATATTATCATTATGTCACACGTCAGAATGGTCTTCCAGCGCATGACCAGCGTACGGTTAGCAACATCTGTGCAGGAATTTGGCTAACAAAAAACCTGAGCTGCATTCCATTGTTTTGATAGATGTGACACTAACAAGACAATATCTGTAGTACTTGAAGACTGTGCAACAGGAAAGTAGGCTTTATAAGTATTGCCTTATTTAGAATATATGAAGTTCAATATAAGCCTCATGTTCTGATACAAATAAAAATTACACTGACCAAACAACTACTGGCGTCTACACCCAACACCAAATTTAACTGACATTAATTCAACAGTTTCCGAGATAAGACACACACACACAATCTCAAAAGCACGTTACTCTTTGAGCTTGCCCCTCACATTTAGTGCAAAAGAAAAGTAAGAATCATTTATTTTGAGGATTGAATAAGATGATACCCTTTCAAAAACTTCATACATTTGCCACCACCAATTTGTTGCAAAAAGAGATGGAAGAAACCAGTTTCACTGCAGTAATACCTGTCACAGACACGACATAGAAATAAAACAAACCTTTAAATAGTTGGGAAGAAAGACTGCGAGGATCACCTGACTACCCCCTCCCCCCGAGATATAAGCTGCCATTGGGAACAGGGCACAGAAAAAGATGCTCATGCACAAACAATGTATTTATAATTAAACACCTGAGAAGATAGAAAAGAACACATCTTCTACAGCTCAGACAGCAGTGTCAACAGATGCTCGACTCCTGGCAGATATTCTGTTACAACTTACAAATGAACTGGTCTAGTCAATGAGAAAATAATTTATATTAAATGAAGACTTTATAAAATGTTAATGATTCTTGGTGGAGTTCCAGTACCATTTTTTAAATCATACTGTTGTTTCTTTCTTTCCTGGAAACTCGCTACGCACCACCACCTGTTTAGCTTACATGAATGCAATAAATAGTTAACACAGTGGTGTTTCTTGATCATGTCCATATTGAAATTACACATAATGTCACACAACTGGAGACACGGGTAGGGCTTAGACTCCATTGTGGAAGTACAGAGGGGAAGTCATTTGTGCCTGCCTAACCTGGTATTTTGCCCACGCATTACTGTCACTGCAAATATGGCCACAAGATCCAGCCTTTTCCTAAAAGGAGTCATAATTTCTACCAAGATCCTTTTACCCACTACAAAGCAGACTTGCACATACAACAGTAGGTACAAACATCCAGGATTTTACAGCAACTCAAACTGATAGACAAACACATACAGATCCCTGGAGTTGGCCAAAATATGGTTTCAATCTTACATAATGCCACGTTCAAAGGACATTTCTCTCTTCCTGGTGAAGTTGGCTATATTAGCTTTGAGGAACAAAAATCAAATCCTATACTTGTACCACTTCACTGCATTTAACAATAACGCAACATATGGCCCTTGAATAAAGAACACCTCAACCTTTTCTTAATAGAATATCAGCAAGTCATTTACCTGTGTGCTGCCTTCCTGTACCACTTTCGTCCATTTCCTGTATGGTCAACTGAAGGATAAGGAGTAAAACCTGAGTATATGGGATTGGATGTCACACCATCACGTTCAGATAGGTCAAATATATCGTTCTCCATCACTGCTGCATGAATTTTCGATAAACTGCAAATGAAGTTCAGCTCTTCTATTTATCCTGGTACAGATTATGAAATACTTGTCAACAGCATACTCAAATACAAGAATCACCGTTATATTCGTATTGTATAACTAAAGCTACTATTCAACCAGTTTGTATTTGACAATTAAAAAAGGGGTTAGGGTATCCTTAATCATCTTTTACAGCTAGAACGTAAACACCAATTTACAATACCTGAATTCCTGTATATTGACTGCCGACTATTAGACACAGTAACACCTATTTATTAAATTCGGAAGAAAATAAATTCTCCTGCTATTTCTACACACCACCTTCCTCAAACAGATGACACAACTAAAATAAAATTTGTTCCGATTTGCAAAATAAAAGCCACAGATAAAAAGTATAGCTTGCATGTTGTCCAACATCCGACGATGAATTCCATAGCCAGCTAAAGAATAAATATCCCAAATGTGCTGCGAGCACCATAAGGTTGAAAACCACTGGCCTACACACTCTGACAAACATGGTGCTGTAAATCTTGGGTTATTGTGTCTAGTGGAAGGTGAAAACACTGAAATAATTTTTGTTGTAAAGGAATCATCTCGAAGCGTTATTGCATATAGCATACCTTATGAGGTGAAGCCAACGTTGGGAAGTTTTAGGGAAATAACTTATGAAGCTAAAATTGGGGGGCTTTAGTACCGTGTAAGATGTACACCATGTATCATGGAAAATCTATTTACAGGGATGCCAAATGATGGCTTCTCTTATGTGAAAACAAAGAAAAGGAGAACAAGAAACTTTGAAACCAATAAGAAAACACTGGTGACTGCAGGTTCTGATAGTGGTGAAGGCAAATTTAATAATGAGGCTGCTATAAGGTAATATAATTTTTTGTGTATAAATATTTAAACTTTGCAAATCTAGAATGGAAGGCAGCTAATCTTGTGCATATCTTTTCAGGAGGATATTATTGGCCAAGAAAGAAGTTGAAACATCAGATTTCTATTCATCTGTACTAAGAAAATTAAATGAAGGACTGAACCAGCTTGACTTCTTGGATGTGAAGGAAATTGTCTGCTATGGTCTTGGCCACTTTGTAGAGTGTGTGGGGGCTCGTTATCAATTTGGACTTCTCTTGTCTTTGAAAGATCATTTTTCTTCTCACGTCTCAATATTTGATCCTATATTTTACAATTCAGAGATAAACATACTTAGAGAATTGGGGTTTGAAGTTATCACAGTAAATGAAGAAGGGAAACGAAGAGCCAGTCCTGATGCAGTCACATTAATATATCTGCCACACTGTCCCAAACAACTGACTAACAACTTTTTGTGGTCTAATTGGGGACCTGAACTTAGAAACTGCATCATATTCAGCAATAGCTTCTCCAGAATTATCGAATCCCAGCCTAAACGTATTTTGAAGGCCAATGCAGAATATATCCTCAATATTAGTCCATATACGGAGGAACTTGGTGTAGATAACTCCTTCAGATATAAAGATATATTTAATGATATTGCTATTCACATTTTTCCACAGAAAAAACTAAACTCTGTTTCACAGGTTTTTTGGAATTTATGTGATGAACCAGAATACAGTGCAGATGAGACTGAATTTATTACAAACAAATTTATTTCAGCATTGAAAGTAGAAAATTAAATATTTTTATCAACTGTAATAACTAAGCATGTCGCAAGGAATTGTGAGATCTCTTCGCCAACTGTTATCTGAAATACGTCATATTAGCTCTGAGAAGAAACGCCAAGACTCCCTACTTATTAAATACATAATGATGCAGTTTCACAAGCACAAAGAGACTGATCAGCAGCTTTGCAAGGCACAGGAGGAAATGAAATTCTTGGCTTCATCATACCTTTGCTACCTTCAGAGTCAAAGGCGATATGAAGCAATCTATAATCAGTACCACGCGAAAGGTGAACGTTCTGTCAGAGAAACTGCTGATATGGTGGGCTTCAAGTTGCCACACGATACTAAATGATGTGTCATTCTGCAATGAGTAAATGGATACTAGTCTCTTTTATTTTAGTACCTTTATCAGGCATCTCTCTTCTGATCTTTAGACACCATATCTTTGATAGTTTACAGTGTCCACCTGAGCATTTTCATTTAAGTGGTATGACTTCCTGTCATCCTTGGTTGACCTGTTTAGATTTAGAATCCATTGCTGTGAAAGAACTAATTGGATTGGGTGCAGTCAAGGCAGTGTATAGAGCAACATGGAAGGAATTCTTGCTAGCATATTCTAAACTCAACAATCCACGTTACTTACATGATTTCAAGCATGGTTTAAATATGCTAAAATTATTTTACCATAGTTCATTTGTAGTTAAGCTAATAGGATTCTGTGAAAAACAGAACATTATTTTAACTGAATATCATAGAAAAGGCAATGCTGTGAATATTACAAATCTGTTGTCTTCTTATAACTTGAAATTCAGGGTCAAGCTTTGTTTGAATTATGCATTATTACTGCAATATTTGCATAACAGTCCATCTGGTATTCGAGTCTTCTGCGATTCAAATGACCTAGTAAAGCTGTTGAGTCAACTTCTGGTAACTGATAATTTGACTTTAATATTAAATGATCTTGATGCTTTGCCAGAGGTTAACCAGAAACAAAATCTTACTATTAAATGTGGCCATCAACAACTCACTGGTACTTTTGTTGCACCAGAACAGCTGTGGCCTTTCTCGGAACCTTTCGATGAGAACAAAATGCCAGGATATGATGAGAAGACAGATATATGGAAAGCTGCATCTGTATGCGAACACTTGGTAGGGAATGTTACAAACAGTGATGTGGTGCGTTATTATTTGTTTTCTATACATAAAAGTTGCAAACATCCACATCCTGAAAGGCGACCTACAGCAGATACACTTGTGAAGGAATATATGAGAGTCATAGAGGAAATTGACAGTGACTTGTAAGCGGTGTGTGAAACAACTTCTTGTTATAAATGCATGTAGAATATAATTTCATAAACAATAAAGGAATATAAAAAATATTGACTAAAAGATTTGTATAGTCTTTTATAATTCTCCAATGAACCTGATTTTGCCGTATCTTCTGTTGTGAACTTGGTGGCAGCTTGCTACGTTCCCTCCTCACGCACTGTAGTCTTGTTCAATGTACTTTGCAATTGTATTAAGCTGAATGTTATTTGTTCCCTCATAAATAGTTCCAACCTTGCAGTCCCTGTAGAACTTCTCCTGCGGGAAGTCTTTTGTGAATCCAACACCACCCATCCAATCAATACACTTAGCTGTCGTCGTAACTGCCACTTCTGAAACAAAAGACAAAAAGATGGCACTTAAAGAGCAAACCAGTTATGATCAAATATTCAATCAAATATGTGCCAACATTATACAGCATGTCCCCAAAAAGATGTATACACACATTCAATGAATGAAGTAAAGATATTTTAACAGACTAATCATTACATACATCAGCACTGGCACTAAGTGAATTAGACATTTTAGTGTAGGTGTTCAAATGACCACTGTTAGCTTCATGACACAGTTCACAGCAGTGAGCAACAAACTGACAATCGGCCACCAAAGTTGCACTGTATACATCTTTTTGGGTCACCCTATACACACACTGGATTTCGGTTTGAACATTAATTACATACGGATGAAAGGAAGGAATCACTGCCTTTGTGATCAAGCCAAATGAACAGGGTGATCACCTTCAGTCATTAGAAAATTGGGATTAGAGGCTGACTTCACTTTATTTGCATTTTACATCATATTAATATCTTAAAATCTTCAGTTGCCTGAATGACGTTCTAACCACGACTGGTTTGTACCTACCAGATGCATAGTACTTTGCCATCGAAGCCTGTTTGATGAATGGCTGCCCTGCTTCACAAAGGCGAGCCGCATTGTACACCAACAAACGAGCACATTCAATTTCTGTAGCCACACGGGCAATTTGGTGTTGCATTGCCTGAAATTAAAGCCTACTTCATAAAACCCTTCAGAGAATAAGTGGCCTCATGTTCATTTATTGCAAATATAAATCTTGTATTGCAAAACTAAAAATATCATTAAAAATACATTACATCAAAAAGAATTTCAACCTTTTGCATCACAAAAGTTGCTAGTCAGTTAATGTGACTGCAGAGATTATGTTTTACTGGAAAATGACTGCTTACTTTCAAAATGTGAATAATAGTAACTGTGAAAACAGCAAATTTTCTCTGACAGAAGTTACGGCATAAAAAATAATTCTGTGAGTGTCGAACAATCTAGAGATAAAAGTACTTTATTAAACGTGAACATGATGGGTTGAAGAATTACAAATCTGTACCCTTTTGTCACATTTATTCATGCCTTGAAGTTTCCAATTCAAAATTTCTTGGAACAGGAGGTTGACATTTAATTTACTGATCTAGCAACCGCTGTGATTAAGTAGCAATGCTTGAAGTAAAAAGAAGGTTATGTTCAGGAAGGTGGGGGAGGCAGAATGACTACAGCCTATTTCAAGAACCTGCTAGAATAAATGCATACCTGGAATGAAAATATTTTCTTTCCAAACTGTTTCCTTTCTAATGTGTATGGAACGGTGGCATCAAAACAACCTTGAGCAATGCCAATCATCTGTGCTCCTATACCAATGCGGCTACCGTTCAAATAACCTGCTGCGTATTTGTATCCCTTGCCAACTTCACCAAGAATGTTAGATTCTGGTACCTTCAACAGAACACTTTTAACATCATACCATTTTATTGTTTGAGTAGCCTGTTCAGAAATGTTCATAAAATTTAATTCTATAACAATGTAATAATTACAACATGATTATATTCAGAACTGAATGTGATATCAACGTATTTCGAACAAGTGGAAGTTTTGTGATTTTAGAGTTTGTTAAGTTCTTTCATCTGGTATAATCTAGAAGATCATCTGAGCAATAATCTCCAAATATTTCAGTATAATTTAAAAACTAAAGTCAATATTCTGTAGTAAAATGTATAACTTACTCTGACATTATCAAATTGAACCATGCAAGTCCCAGAAGCTCTCAAACCAAGTTTGTCTTCCTTCTTCCCTATGCTCAGTCCAGGAGTATTTCTTTCAACAATGAAACAAGTGATTCCTTTGTAACCCTTAAAACATAAACACCAGGTCAGGGCTACTGACGGATTTAGAATCAAATAAATTGATACATAATCAAGATACAAACTTAAAGAGCTTAACCTTTACATATACAAAAGTGGGCACTGACCTAGCTAGAATATTTCTGTTGGCCACAGACAAATAAATTAACGGCCGTGGGTTGTCCATCACTGCCGTAAATGAACGAACAACACAGATGCAAACCGATAGGCCAAAAATATGTCAACATTTTTAGGCGCATGCATAAAGACAGTGCCAAACTTACATCAATGGTTTCTTACTGCTATATCACACAAAGCATTTGCTCCTACAGAGGTTCAGAATTCATGTACACTTACAGCAGATGGATTAGCGTTAGCCATGACAATGAACAATCCAGCAATGTCTGAATTTGATATCCACATTTTTGAGCCATTTATAATGTAGTCACTTCCTTCTTTCTTAGCGGCTGTCCTCAGGGAAAAGGCGTCAGTTCCCGACTCGGATTCAGATAAGCAGAAACTCCCAGTCTGTAATTAAGAAATTATGAAGCAGGGAAGTTAAGAAGTATTACCATGTGCATAGTGTGTCATCAAAGCTTACCACACTTTTAGATAACATGGGCAGATACTTCTTTTTTTGTTCTGGAGTTCCAATTGCTCTTATCAGGGCATTCACCAATGTGTTATGAATGTGTACACAGACACCGATAGCTGGGTCCACTTTGGATATCTCCTCCACTGCTATTATTGATGTGAAGAAAGACAGACCTGAACCTCCATACTCTGTTTCAACTTCAATGCCCATTAACTAGAACAAAGAAGAAAAAAACACATAATTTCTCTAGCCATCATAGTCCATTCCACGCCATTCTGTCAACTTTAATTACAGGAAATTGAAAGATGTGAAGAACACATACATTTAAAGCAGTTTTAGGCATTCTTTGCATTCTGCAATTCTGATCAAAAGGAATAATTACTGACATAGCTAGTGAACAGTACATATTACATAATGCACAGAATCATAAATTCCGTTTTTGGTCAAAGAAATGAACTGCATGGAGGCATAAATTATTGTTTCCTTAAATTTCATTACATATATATCATAATAAATGTTTTGCATAAAATCATAACCTCAATGATGCCCACATTTTGTAATGTGCTATACATTACTGGAGAGAAGAGCTCTGTCACTGATCAATGGAAGTGTGGTCATACAGGAAAACTACTGAACACGTTACAAAACTCAGAAACAGTCCGATATATTCTAGTCAAAGTGACGTGCTTTTTAGTAGTGCCAGTGAAGTTATTTTCACTTAACTTTCAGTTGTTTGTGTACAGATGCATGTGAAATTGACTCTACTCTTCTGTTAAAAGTATTTGAGCATTTTTTATAGAAGTTACAATTGCCTGAACATAGTTATGTGTGTTATAAAGGGCCATCAATTGAAAGAAAGGTAAAATCCTCTGCAGAAGGCATGCAAATAATACTGAGAATCAGCAGTGTGAATTTAAGACAGCAGATGAAAAAATTGCCAATTTCATATGCAACTGATAAAAAACAAAATACTGTGTAGATTCTATGGAAACTGTTGCAAGAATAAGCAAGCTGTCAAAAATCTGGTCATTCTGAAAGAGACAAGCTATCTAAGGTATAGGCTATGGAAAGGACCAAACACTGCTGTAGTGGCAAGCACTCCTGTTGGACACTTGGTCAAATTTTGATCAGAAAGCCAAATATATTCGCTAAGGTATAAATGGCTTTCCTCAGTTTCTTTGCTTAAATGAACCTGAAAAGTTTAAACTAACCACATATATGAACAATTAATTTGGCTAACATGTGACACCCTCACTGTTTTCAGTGATGTTGATAAAACACATTTCACAAGACTGAAGAACTGAAAAAAACAAAAATACTAACTCCACTTTCAAACAGTGTATCTGTTACTCTGGGGTCAAACTTTGACTCTTCTTCCATTTTTCTTACTAATGGTGAAATCTTCTCTGCAGCTAATCTTGAAACTGAAAAAATCCAATACTGTGTATAATTATATGTATATAATTTAGAAATTAATTCCGTTGATAATGTATGGTTATAACTTAGAAACATGGAAACCAAACAGCAGTGGGAAGTCAGTGCACATTATAGAATAGTAATAAACATTCAAAAACAACAAAATGATGTAAACGATACAGACATAAGAAGGATTAAACTAAAGCATATGCATGTACACACCAAGACACCAGAATTCTAGTAAGCATTTAGTTGATCAAGGGCATAACCATAAGACTACATTATGAAATCACTTTGTGAAGAAGTCTATAAGCAAAAGATAACAAGACTGTCTTCTGGGTTGTAACGCTGTGTAGTCTGGTAGAAGTTTACCAATGTTTCAGAGGTCCTTGCTGTCTCCATCATCAGGATGATAAGTGTGAACTTCTTCCAGACTACATGGTGTTACAGCCCAAAGGACAGCCTTCTTCATTCTTGCTGTCGTGAGAATAAAATCCTCCTTCGATCATAAGGCCACAAATGAAGGAATGAACCTCTATGCATCTGTGTATTTGCTGTACTATACTACTGTAAACATGGAAGGTCTTGACATTTAACTTATACCAAATTCTTTCATCATCCTTTCTTCATCTGTGAGAAAATACAAACTTGTTGGACTGCCTGTAGCAGTGTGTGACAAGGTATTCCGCTGACATGATAACAGAATGTTGTGGGGTGAATTCGCTCCTTTAACATGCCTAATTCCATTCGGAACCTGAAAAATTAATTTCGAACATATCATGAGTGCTCGTATTGAACTTCCTTTAAAGCAGTGTTTTGAAGCTAACATTAGACAAGTGTCTTTCTGGTTTCCAAAATAATACAATGACGCGCAATACCTATCCTATACAGCTCATAACTGATTCAGAGAAAAGTTTTAACGTTATACCACAAGCGATACTTTGGATAACTTTCTTTTCATGTACAGTATTCGTGTTTTCGTTGTTACATACCCATTTAAGTATATTCCTTATATTCAGCATGTTTCTGATTACAATACAATTTTGCCGAATAGTCCTACGAAACTACAGAGTGACACAACCTACACCATTAATCTAATACCCATGATAATAACAGCAGTTTATTAACCATCTCTGAGAGCTTAGAACCTAACCTAACATATATCGAGAAATCATGGATGATACAAATATGAGCAAAAGAATTTTGTCAGCGGAAAATCTAGAACAGCATTTTTTAAAACATGATAATTCAAAGAATTTTATGTTATTATCTGAAGTACCGAAATTATGTTTCAATGAGCCTTGTCTACTTGGAGTTGATGAAGCAGGTAGAGGGCCGGTCTTAGGTAAGACAAATATTCGGTTCAAAGTAGATTTGTATCTTTCTGATTAAAGTAGGTGACCAATTGTCTGAAGTTTCCCAGGTAATTCTGGGTTTATTTTTAGTTTTATACTAGATTCTAAGGGTGCATGATGTAGTATGTATAAATTATACTTTAAGCCAACATACATCTTAAATAAGCTTAGGCATGAAGTGGAATGAATGGTTTCACTTTTACTAAAATAGGGATGTCACCTCCTCTAGGTCAATAGCTGGCATGGCAGTTTTGATGATCATTATGATATACCTTAAGTGTATGAGATGACCCCACACTGGATTCTTTACCTTCATTTTCTTTCTAGGACCAATGGTGTATGGGATCTGTTATTGTCCATTAAGCAAGGCAGAAAACATCAAGGCCTTGGGATGTGCTGATTCTAAAAGTTTAACAGAAGAGAAGAGAGAACTTGTATTTGAGAAACTCTGTAAAGAAACAGAATATGTTGGATGGGCTGTGGAAGCCATCGCCCCAAATAGCATATGTAACAGTATGTTACGAAGGTAAAGGGGTTGTTGTGTAAACTGCTTGTAATTTACATTTTGTTTATATTACAGTAGTTATACTTTACTTACCATTAACTAGCTGCATGGAGCAGAATCTTTCTTGAGAAGGTTTTCTCAATTAGTGACAAAATGCTCTTCTAATATGGAATCTAAAAGTTTATTATTGTGTATATGACAGCCCATATTATTGATGTAAAATTATCGGATATTTAAAGTGTACACAGGAATCTGTTTTAGCCATAACCATTTCAGAATTTCAAATGTCCATGACTTAATAATATTTACAGTAATAGATATATTTACAAAAGTAGCCTGTCCATCAGATGAGTAAAACACAAGTGAATATGTAACTATCCAGGACAACTTTGTGACCCCATGCAGCATTTTCATCTCCCCAGTGAAAACTGGGGAGATGATATGAAGGAAATAATTTCTTTCTGAGAAGATTTCGTTAGAGAAGGTAGATGATGAAAGGGACCAGCATTTAGTTCAGCAACTTCTCAAAATCCTGTCCTCCAGTTTCCTAGACATACTGCCGCTAGTAGGAAATGTGATTTCCTTTTTAATCTTCCACATACTAGTAGGTTTCACTTACTGTAGAGTTCAGAAGATTTTCTATTAAAGTGTTCAGATTTTGCTCCAGAATGTACAATATCATAATTTAAATGAACAAATCATGAGTTCCCCGAATTAATACCATAAAGCAAATTACCAAATGTAATATGTTTATATATGCAACAAACATATCTGAGCCAGTGACAGGAATAATGCAAGAACTGGAAATGGAGCAAGGGTTAATAAAGAACTAAAAAAATTGTGCAAAAGGCTGAAGTTTAAAATATCAGACTTTTGGAAATTAGGTGGATTGAAAATCATTTTATAGACATAGATTTTGGAAACTCCACTGATCCTTGCGAAGTACAAGCTGCACCTCTTGTCATCTTAACGTGAAAAGTCATGGATTTGATATGGCAGTTTTGGGAACTAAATTTTATTTTACCCAATGGTAGCATAATTTTTGGAGCATGATAGATGTTTTATAATAAATAATACCTAAATTTCTCTTTGTACTGTAAAGATAAGAGTTCAATTAACTTCAATATTTTTAGACAGAAGCATTCATTGAATCAAGTAGCGCAGGATTCAACAGTTGGACTGATAACAAAAGCGAAAGACTCTGGAATAAACATTAGTGAAGTGTACATCGATACTGTTGGAATTCCTGAAAAGTATCAGGTAAGTTGAAAGTGTATGAGAAGATATTATGTTACATAAAACTGTATAGGAGTATATTATGTTATGTGATTTTAGTGCTCTTAAAGTTAATTATATGTGTTTTACAGGAAAAGCTATCAGAAATATTTCCAGAAATTAAGATTACAGTTTCTAAGAAAGCTGATGCTATTTACCCAATTGTAAGTGCAGCTAGTATCTGCGCTAAAGTGTCCAGAGACAGAGCTCTGAAAGTATGGACGTTTCAGGAGGGTCTTCAGGCAATTGCACGTGATTTTGGAAGTGGATATCCCAATGGTAACTACGTTGTATTATTATGGAAGATCAGAAGAGAGAACTGATGAATCAACTCACTTTCATAAAATGTGTTCACTACTTTCCTCCTTGTGCCTCCTGTCTTATTTTCCATTTATCAAAGTTCTTTCTGTCTTATGGAAATGTTCCATTCTAGGAAGCAATGCATGGAACAGCAGACAAATATTTAAGCACACTATTTTCCATGATAATAAATTAAGCAGCTAAGAGAGTGCACTTTAGCAATTTTTTCCCCCTCAGATCCTGTAACAAAGGCATTCCTAATGAAGGGCATTGATCCTGTGTTTGGATATCCCCGGTTGGTCAGATTTAGCTGGTCAACAGCAGGAAAGATTCTGCAAGATCACGCTGCCCTTGTGGAGTGGTAAGTAGTTCAGCACAACAGAATACATGACAAGAGCAAAAGGACAGCAGTATAGGGGGAAGCACTGTTTTCATTGTTGTAAAAACAGAATATTGGTGAATAGTGTAAAAGTTTGTTGAACTTCAGCTTTATTTCGCTACTATTTGCCCAGTTTACAATTCACAAATATTCTCAAAAGTTTATCTTCTGGTCCTGATTTTGTGACTTGACCAAAAATTTTAGCATGAAATACAGTGGACTCTCATTTGGTGCCGAGTTACCCATCCCACTGTTTCTTGCTTGTACATGCATCGTATATTGTTCCATCCCCTAATGAGGGTCAAATTGCAGCAGAAATGTTGTTTATCCTATAACTTATTGTAATTGTTCACGTGTTTTTGCATAACATGCAAAATATCTGTATGTTTCAGTTCCAAAGCCATTAAGTATATTTTGACAAAATTTGTTATGTGGCAGCGAGACTAAATTTTTAGACGAGAGAATTCTTGGTGCATATTTGAGAACTGCTCAGCTGATAACAAATTTTGAACTATTGTTGCAGGGAGGATGAGGAGGAAAGTGGTGCAAATAGAAGTACAACCATAACTTCATTTTTCAAGCAAGTCAACTCCAACAAGCGGCATAAAACAAAACATGAATTTTTTACAGAAAGAAACCTTGCAGTTTTGGAGTCACTGTGATTTCAATTGGATTGTTTTGCAGTGAAATGTGTATTTCAGAAAAAAATTTGATATGTCAAAAACTTTGATGAGCATAGAATTCATTCAGGACAGAATCTGGATTTCCACCAGCCTTGCATAGTTTAAGTGTGTGTTGTGTTCAGATTTCTACCCATTTACATTAAACTTCTGCATATCACTGTCAATAACAAGTTAGATAAGAACATAAGATTTATAAAGTTACAAATTAAACTTGCATAAATAAGAAACATTTTTTACAAGTGCTTTTTCCACAAAGTCAACATGTTAAGAGAAATCTCAACATATATGTACTGCACAGTTTGTAATGTAGAAACAAAGTCAAGGCTGTCAGTTTGTGAAAAATATTTGAATCAGTTGAGAATAAAGAAAATTACATGTAAAACATCTCTGTATAATGTTTTCATCAAACCTATCTGGAATGGCAAGAAGCGTTCAGAATGCAAAGGTAGGTACGCCAGTACGGATTGCTCATACCAATCCTTATAGTTTGTGTACTTTCTTATTTACTCACTTCAACAATGAGTACTCAGACTAGGAATTACTACAGGAACTACAAAACTTTTTATCTTAGCCTGCACAGAACAGTGGACAAAATTGTAATATTGCAGGCTGCCTTAAAATGAAAAAATACCAGACATTAATAACGCTCATACTTTTGAACATTAATATGCACTTACATTCATGACATGTGATTTACAAGTACAGTAGCGTGGGGGAAGACTTTCCTGCAGTCGCTTCTTCCAGCAAGTAATAAAATATTACACATGCAAACAACAAAAAAAAGGTTCAGAACAAATATTACAGCTGTCAGTAATGTTTAAAAACTTTCAACAAATTCAACACTCTGGAACATCAATTGCAATGATGCCTATTTAACATTAGGTACATGAATTACAGAACTACAGGGAAGGGTACGTAACACAAATGAAATAATCACATAATTTTTAAAATTTATTAAACAGCGATGATGTTACAAAAGTTAGCGCTGCAGCCTACGATGTTTCCATTGCAGTTGCAGTTGCAGCACTTTCTTCTGTGTATTTTCCCTTCTCCTTACCCAAGGCTGCCAACCTGCCCTTCGATCTTCTGTCAATAATCCTCTTCCTATTTTTGTCCATCTTCAACTTGACGATGACAGTCTGGAGCAAAACAAAGATTTTAGGACCCACATAACAGTTCTAGATGCATTTCTCTAAAAAAATTCATATTTAATGTCTATTTTAGGTTATATTAAAACATCAGGTTACATTAGGTACATGGTGTCTAGTAGGGAAGACTAAAGAAAGAACTCTGTGACTAGCTGGAAACTGGACAATTGATGTAAGACAGACCATACTGGTAAAGTTGTCCTTAACTGTACCTTGGAAGGATGGATACCGACGTAAACACTGGCACCATTAGCTTTCTCCCGCTGAATCCTTTCAATGTATATAACAAATTTCTTTCTGTACACCTGTACAACTTTACCAACTTGTTGACCCTTGTAATGACCTCTTACAACCTGGAAAGAGAAGAAAGTCCCCATCAGCACTTCCACACACAGATTACCTGCAAGATTTCAAACAAAAAGTATTTGAGAGATCAGAGCCATCATTTCACCAGGACACAAGCTGTACAATGAGAGCAGCCATCAACCTGGAGAACCCAGATAACAGCAGCAACATCACTGTGCGACACCTGCCTCATCTGTGAATGGTTTAGTTCATCATTTCATGTTCAAGTAACATCCTACGGAGAACACGAACAAAAGCGTTTTGTGTGGTATATGTGTATGTCTACCACCCCCAAAATTATTTAGCCTGCAACAAAACGGAGAAACAATTTTGTTCCAAGCACATCCTTTGGCATGCCCCACAGTCCATTTAGCAACCAGTGTATTTGCTCGTAGTCCATGCAGAAGCTATTCTGAAGCCATTACAAGCACATGTCACTAGGTCAAAACCTGTGCTGCACTGTGTCATAAGTGATTGATTCCAAAGGAATGACAGAGTTGATCGCAATACTAGGCATTCTATTAACATGGCAAAAATATGGTACCATTACTTAGACTGCACTACATGACATCAGAAACTGAACTTTCAATAAATCACTAATACTCCAACAGAAAACACAGGTAAACTAATTTCACTTGTTGATTTTTTGGGTGTAAAATATGGTCTCTCACCTTTAAGCAAAGAACATAACCTACTGGCACCAAAGGGAGTACTCTTAGAAGGAGAAAATTACATGATCAGGCTTTTGTGTACACAGCAGTAAACCTTCAGATTCCATGATGTGCACTGAATTTATTGACCAAATGAACAACTAACAAATTTTACGGTGCTTCACTGAAATGGCAAAAGAGTCTAGAGGAGCATTCATATACACAGCAGGCCTACCGAGTGTGGTAATACATACAGAAAGGAGAGGTCAGAGAAACACTGGCCTGCACTTCTTAGTCTTATTTTCCCAATCACAAGTTCATTCATACTTTTCTCATTTACATAAATAAACTACAACATACCTGAACTTCATCATCTTTGCGAATTGGCATTGTACGAACATTGTATTTTTGCCGAAGTTCTTTTGACAAAGGAGCCGACATTAATCGTCTCCTGATGTGAGATGGGGCCGTAAAATGTCTCTTTCGATTCTTCCTTCTAGATGACGATACTTGTTTATTCAACTTCATCCCTACCTACCAACTGCCAATCTGAAACACGGAATCTGTTAAGAAAACCATTCAAGCAAGTCATAAAATATCCGCAAAGCCTTTTCTTTGGTCTTAAACAATAAAAAATCTTCCACTTGTCATTAATGTGGTGCAATAAATTGTCTACATTAAATTTAAATACAGATGAATATTGATTAATTTCACAAATAGACACCACACATACCTAACCCGAAATCTAACCTCCACAAAGAACTTTTCACGTTTTGTCGCCGAAATGCACTATGGGGAGACTGCTTCGTGTCGTTCAGAAATCTTCCCCGTAGCCAGCAAGCAATGAGGCAAAGGGTGTGTTCTCAAAATAAAGCGTTTTCTGGATGTTTTCCATCGTCTAATAAAATCAAAAAATTGCATGACTTTTCGGAGATGGGACTCTATCTCCATCTTCAGGCATACCTACTCAGTTGGGCCCAAGGGTGTGTTCACTTGCACATAATTCGAAATAAATTTTAATACTGGAGAATCTTATGAAAAACTGTGAAAACCATGTAAATTAATTGTAATTATAGCAGTAGGCAACGGCTAAATCACTAGTAAAAAAGAAAGAAAGAGAACTTACCCAAGAAAGGAGTGCGAGCATCTTCATTGTCTTCTTTGCTGTGGCCCAGCCAACTATGACCATGGGACATGGAAGATGAGGAATTTATTGCTTTCCCCCTTTTGGTAATGTGCAGCCTTATGAAATCGGATTGCCTTTGACCACACAGGTTTCCCTTAATAGCGTGAAGCAAAAACAACTGAAGGGTAAAGAGCAAATCACAACTGGGCATGTTATGCCAAAACTGGAACTCCTAGCATGTCCTTTTCCTCAGTTATTCTGGGAAAATACAGGAATGTGATGAGGAAAGGAAGACATGAACAACGGCAACTTTGTTGGGGCTACAGTGACTGCAAGGTTTGAAGCGCCCTAAGAATTTTGGGATCTGAGGTTCCCAAGGTGTCAATTTTATTCTGGGCTGTTATGCAGTGTAGAACTGTAGGTTGATACCAATGTTTTAGAGAAAAACTGTCTCCATCTTCAGGGCTGAAGTCAATTTAGCCAAACGGTGTCACAACCCAGAACAATGATTATACCCTTAAGAATTATTGTCAGTTCCACCAAGCAAAAATATCTGCTTCAGGACTAATACACAGAAATATGCCAGATTTACAGATCCTGCTGTGTGTAAACGTATGTCCACATATTTCTGTGTTGCATTGTTCTATACAAATATTAATAGAGGCCTTGCAACAGGCTGATCAACCAGCCAAGCAGTCCTACCAGATACATAAAATGACTACATTGAGTTATTAATTCTGAACTGTTAATCAGTAAAAACTGAATAAGAAAAATATCTTGTGATTTTCTTA